ATTGACCTTAAAACAACTCTGATGGAAGAGAGATGAATCGATGAGATGACAGAGTAACGAGAAAAGATTAATCAACCGCAACAAACCGCAGGTGACACAGTTTCTCGAGGAAAAAACAAAGGCAATAGGAGTATTTCCTTTTAAAAGATGCTAAAATTATATATTGTCATAAATGCGGACAAGCGGAGATACAAGAACAAGGCAAAACAGATCGAAGAATAAAATCCATCCAAGGTGAAAGGAAATAACAGCAGCGGAAAACATGAATAATGCATAACATACTGATTAAGGAAGTGTAACATTGATACCAATGCTGAACTAACCCAGTTAGTGGGTAAATGGAGAGTGTGAAGTAATTGGGGATTACAAGTATGATATGTCAACCCAAACACATAGTAATGAGTCGCATTCATCTACGGAGAAGAACAAGTACGTTGACTCGCTTCATCTGAAGTTTGCGAGAAGCGGCAATTTGAACTTATCAAATGTTTGCTCAAAAGATGATGGCTTGATCGATCATGGCCTACCTTACTTATCCCTCCCGAATATCTTCCAGTAGATAAGATACCCGTTGTCATCAGAATATTCTTGAGGAAAACGCAAACATATTCCACTATTATTTGCAGTAATTAACTTAATTGCCATTAATTGGAAGCAAAAAGTGCTCGTGTCAGGATTAAACTGTAGCGCTTAATTTAATTGATAATCTTCATGTCATTGCTTCGTAATTTACAGGCTTACTAAGACGCCCAGGAAAATCATTTGCGCCTTTTTACGCCATGAAAACCATTCTTTTTCCAAAATATTTTCATAATAGCATAGCATTTTCGAGAAATTAGAGAATAATATTCTATTTTCAGGCATCTTATCAAAATGTAATAGTAAACAGTGAAATTAGGAACATCAAACAAATAAAATTTTTAATTTCAAATTCAATTTAAATTATAAAGTAATGAAAAGTAAAATTATGGACAATAAACTGCTCCAAGTGAATTTAAAAATCACCATTTCGACTAAATACAAGCAGTATTTCTTGCAATTTATGTTTGGAGATATTACTGTTATTTCATTAGAACAAAATAATTCGGTTTGTGCAGATAATTCGAATTTGCATAATAGCAATTTTAAATAGGTACAGAGAAAGAATGCTAATTTGTATTCATTTGATGTTTGGAAGTCTTTAAATAGCGCATTTTAGGCAGTAGCTTTCATTTCATACTTAGTCACTTTCTCTCATTGCTGGTCACTCTAAAATGGAATACTAACTGGAAAAAGGGAACATTGTTGGAATTTACTGAAGGATTAAAAGGATAACTCTGAGTAACAAATGCCGTACCGACGTTCGCGATCACGTTCACGAGGGCGAAGAAGTCGTTCACGTACTTTACAGAGTGCTACATCCCTTTCATTATTACCTGTAAGGCGTCGACGACGGCTAGGCTCACGTTCACGTTCACGACCACGATCAGTACTGGGTTTTGATTTGCTGAGGCTATTATCGAACAGAAGGCGCAGACCAAGGTATAGATCTAGATCACGTCGGAGCTCATATAGGTCGAGATCACGCCGTAGCATTCGACGTCGTCGCCGTTCAAACGCCCGTCGCCGTCGTCGTTTAAGCTCTCGCAGCCCCCGTCGTCGTTCTTTATCTCGCCGCCGCCGTTCACGGTCTCGTCGTCGCACTCTCTCTCGACGTCGTCGCTCTCGTTCTCGCTCGGGTGTACGGACATATCGACGGATATATTATCGGTAGAAATAATATTTCTAGTTTTATTGATTATTGAGGTTATAAAAATATAATAATTCTTAAAACGTTAAATGAGTGGTAGGCTACGACATTTTTAGAAAGCAATTCGGTCACTTGTTTTGCAGGATCCGTCGACGACTACGATGAAAAGCGACGATGTTCCAACAGAATTGTCACTAGAAGAATAAAACTGAAAATGCCTGGCGGTCAAACCAACTTAGTCAAAATTAACAGAAATGAAGTGATATGAAGTCTTATTTAAAATGTAAAATCGATTGTATATACTGCACACCAATTACTGAATTACTGAGCAGCAAAGCAAGTAAAAACTAACACGATGAATAAATGAATTTTTCTTCGATTTCTGGAGGATTTTCATTCAAAGTTAATAAAAATGCCCATATCAGTGTATGTGATGATCTTCAAGTATTCACTGAAGAATAACTGATTCCTGAATGCTTTCAAATTATCGATAATCCTGAAATTCCCACCCGAACATTTGGTGGTTTTTGCAGTGACTTAGTCCAAGTACTGTCATGCAGCGGGGAAAGTCAACGTTTATTTGTGCTGAGGAGGATTAAAATAGCATAAAGGCGTAGCAATATCACTACTGTCAAGTAATGCTGATTTCAAATTACATGTTCACTCTGTTGTCAAACTATTTTCAAACTATCACTATTAAAACGGAACAAATGATCAATACTATATGTTGAAACATTATCACTGCTATGGTTCATCCCACTGAAATCAGCTTTACTGATCTTAGCAAAGTGCTAGGAATCACTCTGACAAGGCAAAAATGTCAATACAAATTATAAAACAATTTTTGAAATATTATGGTAGAGAGAAGGTGGTTTAAAAAAGAGCTGAGAAACGATGTTTAATAAAACAAGTGCTTTCTTTTATTCCCCAACTCTTTCTCTTCTCTCTTTATTCTCCTCCTCTTGTAAAACTGCTGGATCACAGAATGCTTCTTTTATTGTTTGTTGTGGATTTATCAATATATTCATCAAGGCTTTAAGAGCATTTGAATGTTGTCATCTGGAACAATTGCTATAGAATTTTGTGTCTTAAACTTCAAACACTTTTAAATAAAAGTTCGGTGGTTGGTTAGTGAAAAGGAATGAAATAAATTGTTTCAATCACTCCATAATATTTTGCGTATAAATTTCTTTCTAATCTAAAATAATTCCAGAATGTGTTTTTGCTTTCTTAGACTTTTTTTTTCTCACTTTCTTTCTTTCTTTTCATTCCACATTTCAATTCTAACTGCAATATCAATGCTAAATAATTATAAGGTCCATCTCACTTAATTCGAAATCAAAAAGCCATTTCAATTTTCGTTAGACAATAAAAAGATAAATGATAAAAATTGTGATGATAGGAGTTAAGAGTGCTTCGAAAATCGAGAACATATGTAACTCAGACCCAGAGTTATCATTTCAATAAAAATGCCACTAAATTCGTCTTAGTCTTGATAGCCCCATTTACACAGTTCATCAATTTAAAATACTTTAATCAAGCTATTTTAAGTTATTTTTTTTACTAAACAAACGAAATATATATTTCTCTTTCAATGTAATTTACTCACTAAATTCAAAAAGTATTGAGTTCTCGACCAAAATAAAGCTACTAATTATCCATCTTTCATTAATCAGTATAATCGGTAGCAATGACATTGCAACAGCACCAACGATAGCAATTCACTTGGCAACTTTTAAGTTCCTTATGTAAAAGTATTTAGTTTAGCAATAATTAAATTGATGAAAGTTGGTAATATTGATTTAATTGTGACAACGATGAGTGCCAAGACATTATTTAAGCAGAGAATAGCATTAAATTATTTTTTAGATTAGAAAAAACAATTGAAAGTTGTGTTAATAAAGGTACACTAAAATAGTTTTAGCTGTCACGAAATTTGCCTCTTCATGGTTCACTGGAATTAAGACCTCAATACCATTAAATTCATTAAAAGCTGAGTTGCTCAGCATTTAATGAGAATCGAAAATGAACATGTGAAAGAGATGAATGAAAAAACAGATTTACGATACAATTAGCGTTTCATGTCAAATCACTCCTCTTCAATTCTGCACCCCTCTCCTCCTCCCCTTCCCTCCCACTTCTCCATCCTTTCTCTCTCCCTCCTCTTTCTCCCCTCCCTCCTCTCTCCTCTTCTCCTGCCCTCTCTACCTATCCCCCTCCCTCTTCTCCTCTGCTGTCCTCTCCATCTCTCCCTCTCCCTCTTTCTCACTCCCTCCCCTTCCTCTTCCCCTCCTCTCCTCCCTTCCCCTTCTCCTCTCTCTCCTGCCCTCTCTACCTCTCCCCTCCCTCTTCTCCCCTCTTCTCTCCTCTTTTCTTTATCTCTCCCTCTCCCTCTTTCTCACTCCCTCTCCTTCCTCTTCTCCTCCTCTCCCCTCCCCCTCCTCCTCTCTCTCCTGCCCTCTCTACCTCTCTTCTCCCCCTTCTCTTCTCCTGTCCTCTCCATCCCTCCTCCTTCCTCTTCTCCCCTCCCTCTTCTCCTCTTCTGTCCTCTCCATCTCTCCTCTCTCCCTCTTTCTCTCTCCTCTTCTCTAACTCCCTCCTTCCTCTTCCCCTTTCTCTCCCCTCTTCTCCTCTCTATCCCTCCCCTCCCGCCTCTCCCTCTTCTCCCCTTCTTGCCTCCTGTCCTCCCTCCGTCCTACGTCATCTTCCTCTCTTCCCTCCCTCCTGTCCCTTCTATCTCTCCGCCTTCTTCTTCTTTCTCCCTCTTTCTCTTCTCTCCCTCCCCTCCTCTCCACTCTCTCTCCTGGAGGTGGTGATGAAAACAACGACGAGCAAATAATTTCAACTTTAAATATAGATGCTGAAGATGATGGGTGTCTTTTATACCTTGAAGCTTAGTATTACTTTTTTTTTTTTGTAATTTTGAGTTGTAATGAATTTTTGCAACTTTATTCTTGAGCTAATAGTTTTCTTCTCAATGAATCATAAGCAGATATATTACAATGATTCGATCAAATATGTTGGCTTCCTTTCAGTCTGATCTTCATGTTTTTGTGCAATTCGTGATCATATAGAATCTCTAGAAAAAACTCTTCAAGGTTATTTATTTCAGAAAAAAGAAGTGTAGCAAATGGTGATAAAAGACAGCAGAAATCGGGAAATCTGGATCGTTTGGATGCTTTATATCGCCACTGGGAAAGTCTAAGTTTAAATTTTGAAAAACAAGCGGAAAATTTCGAAAAACGGTTGAAAGAGGAAAGAGATCGAACAGATGCCGAAATGCGAAATGCGGCAGTTACGTAAGTATTACTATTTCAAATCATTCATACTGAAATTTCTATTTTTTTTTCTCTCTCTCTCTCTCTCTCTCTCCTTGTCTTTCCCTCTCCCCTAGTAATCCATAGTTCAAAAATCTCTTTTAAATAATTCATGCATATTTATTAATGCTTCGCTGCGATCAGCTACTGAAAATGATTATTATGATTAATTATTTCAATAAATTGAAGATGAACGGGTTGCGAGCTCGCTTTTTTCACATCGAAGCATTAAATTTTTGAACCAATTAACTGATGAAATGGTTCTCACTGTATGCTACAGAATAGTGGAATCACTTATTGCTCTTTTGGCGATATAGTTGACGATTATGCATTAGATGGGATCATTTTTGAACAAATTGTTTCCGTTAACTTTCCAAAAATTGGCGATATAAGGAAGTGAAAAGACCTTCGCTGGTCAAAAAGTTGTTAGACTGTAAATGTGTAATACTAGGTGTAATTTCATCATTTTAATTAAGATTGTTTAACTTATTAATGTTGCTGTTATTAATATTATTGTTAATCTTATAATTAGTTTTATTATCGTTTTCATTACCGTTATTATTACCATTACGATTTTACTATTTTTCTCATTACTACTAGTATGATAGCACTGTTTCCAAAGTACTAGAGATGAGCTTTCTGATTGGAGGAAGAGAAGGAGTATAAATCTTAAGAATTTTATTTTAATTTTGGTTTTCACTCACCTCATTTACTTTGCCATGCATTTTTTGAAGAGGGTTAAACGAATCCCTTTGTGATAGATTCAATTCCTCCTGATTTTTTAAATTCAATTTCATTTCCGTGAATAAATTTGTTGACCATACTAGCAACTTTTCCCGTTAAAAAGGAAAAGATTAGGTGGTGAAAAATGCGATGAATGTAGGTGATCTGGATAAAATGTTCTGTTGATTCATGAAAAATATTTTGAATTATTTTGTGGCTAACATCTCACAATTAATATTTGTTTGATTTTGCTTAGGTGAAGATATCGTATCTTGTGATGAGAGACTGTTTCTGAAGCTAAAATCTTTGATCAATGAAAACAGGAAGCAATGCAAACCTTTCTCGATCTTAAAATGGATAGTGTTATTCATAACCTTCCATCAAAAACTGCCGATAATTTTAAAGTTAGATTTTATAGTCCTGTTAAATTTTGTAAAACATCTGGGCTTTTGATAAAAAAAAAAAGAAAAATTTTTTTCGAATTGGCATTTAAACTCGTTTTATAAATTTTCAAGCTTTCATAAAACCAGTGAATAATATTTATCTCAGCAACAGCAAACTATGGATTTACACGTTGTTTGTGATGAGGCATTGGCATTGGTCGTGGAGCTTTGCGGGATCCACGTGGACGTGATCGAGATTGTGAACGCAATGGTAATCGAGGATTACAACAACAACAGCTTCATAATAATGGTGGTAGGCGTTATTATAGTGATAATCGTAATCGCATGCTTCGCTATAGAGATTATGATGATGATCGTCGATCTCGGCGTTACGAACCACCGCACGATGATTTTAATCGTAATCGGAGATAAACGTGTTTTATTTTTTTATATTTGACATTTAAAACATTTGAAACATTTAAAAATGTGAAAACTTCGGCAATAATTGGAATCTTTAACTGATTTAAAGCGGTTGTAATTTTGCAGTGTATTTATTTTTCCTGATATGTTTTGAGCAATTTTAGATGAGTTCATTGTTTTGTATTTGTTTGAGTGTAAAAGTTATTCGGTTCTTTTCGGTGGGTTTTGTGCTACAAAAAATGAGAATTTTAAATTGGCGCTTCGCTTCGCCAAGTTGGCACAATGCCATGCTTAAGATCTATTTCACAATATCTCTGTATCGATTTGAAATTTGTAGAAAATTTTATTGGCTGGAAGAAGGGAAATAACTACTTTTAATAAGTATATACTCCTTTAAATAATGTAGGAATCTCCTGACAATAACATAAATGATAATTCTAGCACATTCATATATTGCTGTAATTATTACAAGCCTAGTATTTGACGAGAGTAGAACTGTATCATTACTAACAGTAACTATTTCATCCTTGATCAAGTAATAGTAGTTGTTATCCAGTGAAAGTTTATTGAAGAATGCCGATTTTGCCGGTAGCATTGCACGCATTGCGATTACGGATTCCACATTATACAACGCATTGCATGATTCGTTAGGACAACGTGGTAGAGAACCTTAATTCTCGTCTTTGTGAAGAGGAAGTTTGTAAAAAATCATTTCGAAAAAAAAAAAACTATTATAGTGATGCGTGTAGTAATTATGGAGTTGTCCAAAGTTCGCATAAAAAATGGCACGATTAACCAGCAGATTCACAGTTATCGATCATCTTCTCCAGGCATTGAATGCACATAGCGTGTTCGCATTCATCTTTTGACGGGAATCCACTAATTGGCAAGTTTTTACATTTGACTTCAGCTTGGCATCGAGCTATCTGATAGGTATGTATCGCATTGAATTAACTACTCTTATTTTTAAAAAGAGAGGCTAGCAGTTACTCAAATTTCGTTTTTAGAATTTTGTTTTTACAGTAATCAGTTTGTTTTAAACTATCAGTATTTTTGATAATCTGATCTTTCTCGAGAATAGGTAATTTCTTAATTTATCGACAATTTCAGTCATCATAATTAATAAGAAGGAGCAAATATTTCGATTCAGTTCCACTAACGTCAGCATGTCTAAGGCATTCAGTAGAAGGACACCTTTCTTCAACACCTGAAAAGGATATTTTATTTCGTTTCAAAAAACATTTTCCGGAAAACATAGTGAATTTTAAATTTAAAAGGTCTACTTCTTTTTATAACAGTAAGACTGCACGTCATAAAAGCTCCTTAAAACACTAAAAATGAATCAATAAATTTGTGAAGTATTGCATATCCTCAATAATTGAAATCTTGTTAAGAGATTCTTCAAAACAAGCAACTTGGAATGATCAAAATCAGTACCTGTTGAATATTTACGACCGGAAATAGTCTCGAAACAAGCGGAGCATATTTTTGCTTGACAGCAACTTGTCGTTATGTATTTGCCTTCTTCCACGTATTTTTTACATATACCGTCGCACAGATTGGACTCATCCACCTCAGATGCTTTTCCTGAACAATCTTCCGCTGGGCAAACTAAAACATCGGTCACTTTCTGCAGAGAAAAATAGATTACAGGTGAAATTTAGAAGTTAGTGATAGATCATGTCATATCTTTTATTTATGGAATTTATACAGACAGACCGGGAATGGGCAATATTTTGTATTCTTCCATACATGTTGAACAAATATTATGTTTACATGGCAAGCATTCCAATGAAACTGCCGAAAGTTGTCTGCAAATTTCAAAAATAATATGCGTAATGAATCTCTAGCATAAAGATTTATTTATCAGTAGAAATGAGTGAAATACAAAGAGACAAATAAGATTATTTTATAATATTAGTCGATGAATTAAAACGAAATTCAAGCCATCACTATATGAAGACTTTGATTTTAGTTCAAGAGAAATGAAGATGCAGCAATTCTTTCAAATATGATATTTCAAAGATGTTGAAACGAAACATCAAATGTTATCCACTGGAGTTTTGTTTCACCTTTTATAACAGCAATTCAAATTAATTGAATCAACATAAATTCGAGGCAAATTTCCTGACAGACTGACTATTGGCAAAAAGCAAATTCACATCAGGATTGCTAACCGGCAGCAGAATTGACTCTCACAACATTTCCAATTCAAACGTCTACAGCAGCTTTCATCGAATATTGAGAAACAATTCGATGCAAGGCAAATCTGATTCATTTACGATAAATTTACAAGCATATGTAAATAATACAACCTGGCCTAACACTTTACATACCGCAGAGAAGCATCAAAGATGAAAAAGCAGGATGAAAAGTTATGTTCTTATCACTGTATATAATTTGACCAAATTTTGTTAGGAAAGAAAAAAACAAATAAAAAACTTTAAATTGGAATTTTTTTTTTTGCAAATTAAAAATACAATAACATATTAAAATGTTTGTTTTTTGCTAGCTTTAATAACAAATTTGGAAACAGACCATAGGTGAAACAATTTCCTGAGAGGCACATGAGTTTTTTGAATTTGGTTTTATCTAAAATATTTACTTTGCGGAATTTTACAAACTTAATACATTTTAACAGTAAAACATAGAATAATTGAAAGGAATTAACCTTACGTGCGTTTCTCCACCGTTCTACGCAATGTTTGCAAAAGACATGCAAGCAAGGAGTGAACTGAAGAATCTTCCCTGGTGAAACAGTCTTACTGCAAACAACACATTCCATCATTTACCACTGTGCACCGCAAGATCACCGATCAAAATGATGAAGTAACGGAGAATGTTTATTCTAATCTCTCATCAATGACATTACATCACTATACGCGACAGATTCATGCATTTGTCTTCTGACTGTCGCAATGTGCAATGACATTTGGGATGATTGTCAACTCATGTCAAATTCTCCTACGTAAACGTCTCTGGGCCTACAACTTTCTGTAGTTATTTTGAATAGTATTTAAATACCCGCGTATTTCATATTCAGACGACCAAAGCAAAAGTCTAATAATTATTTAATGTAAGGTATCCGTTTGGATCTACTTCCTTCCGAGAATGCCCGATAAATCTTTTGATACATCATTCAAATATTACCATTTATCTTTTGGGAATAACAAAATATTTTCGGCAACATTACTGATACATTCTTTCCTCTACATCATAAAAAAGTGAATTTTTCAAGATCTGAAAATACGATAACTGATACTGGAGAAACAAATTAGCTTTTTCAACCGCCTGACACATAATGTCAAGAACCAAAAAAATCTCCAGTTGCATGAATTGATAATTATATTACTGAATTATTTTGCTCACTAATAATATACTTGGAAGTATGATGACACGATGTGTGTGCAGAATAGCAGTTTAAAATGCGTTAATTTAATTTTAAACAGCTAAATCATAATGTATGTGTTTATAAAATAATGAATAAGGCAACAGAGATAACGATATAGTAAAGGACAGATGATGTGACAAACATTCTGACGGTTCGCTTTGCTTCGGGTGCTACACCAAGATATGACAAATCATCAACTTCCTTCAGAGTTGTCTCTGGCTTCAGATCAGTGATAATGACGTTGTCCGTTCCCAAAATATCAAGAATCTTTTCCGTCTTTACAGGTTGTGCTGCAGTATGCAATATGATGCTAACACACATTTATTTATTATGTATATATTTATTTATTTATTATGTATTATATTTATTATGTATTATTCATAATCAGCTTATCGAGAAAAGTGTTCAATTTTTTTCAAATTAATTAATTACCTTCATGTTTTAGCAAATCCTTTTTAATAAGGATCTATGTGAACGCTGTATGAAAAAAATTTGAGGAACAATTTTGAAGATAAATGAAACTAACAATTTTTAACGCAAAGAGCAAAATCAGATTTCATTTCGCAGGTGCTTTGCACGATTGCTAAAAGTTTGTTAAATTACTCCGAAAAAAATATTTTTTGTAAAACTGGAAAGATCTACGAATTTTTTGTCGAGTACTATCTTTGTTTTTTATTCAAAGCTTTCTTTTTTCTGCACTTAAGTCTGACCCAGTCTAGGATGCAAATCAAAAAAAAATGTCATTGCTGCGTGTCTAATCAAAGACATCATTAGATTGCTAACCTCAACTCAGGAAATACCTGGAGTGAACAATAACCACCTAATTTGAACTGGCAGAATCTTCTTTAGGATATATTTTTTTAACAGCTTTTAATTAGATCTTTCAAATTCTCTAGCAGAAGTGAAAGAATTAAGGGGATAGATAAAATGGGATGAAAAAAAAAAGATAAAATGAGGAAATTTGCTAAGTGAAAGCAGTTTTAAGAAACTAACAACCGCCAGGCAATTCTAACATAAAACAAAATGCATCTGTAGAATTTGAAACAATGACATTGGTCTGAAAGAATTTTAAATTCAAAAACTTTAAAACAATTTTTTATTAAAGTGAGTAATGATGACTGCATTCGAGGAGGTTTCGTCACCTCAGATAAGGAAGTCTTTTGCATCGTTTTCCACTAATTCTCAACCTCAAAGAATTTCTGGGCTCTATTTAAATATTTTGTGTAAAATTCATTCATTTCATCCTTCTAATATTCAATTTTTCTCGAGATAAGAGAGGTTGCATCTCGTAGAAAAGACGAAGTTCTTAAATTTAATTGAAACCAATGGAAAATAGAAGCTAACAAAATTGGAACAACACAGTATTTACATATGAATTACATATGAACTGGAAAAAATTCACAACCATAGATAACAACAAGCCCAGGAATGCAGCTGAAAAACAGTCTGTGTAAAGCATATGAAGCCTTTTCTATCCTTTAGCTACAACATATTTCAATCTAACACTGTGACAGAATATAATTCAAAACAATAAGTAATATTCGACAAATTCCAACTACGAATGCAGTGAGAATCAAATTCATAAATAAATTAAGTGAAAAAACAAAACTCTTATCCAATTAATAAAATTTCATTGGTGCTCACATGCAAAACAGTAATTATTTTAGCATTTTGCTGACTTTTTAATACACAACGAGGTTTTATTTTTAAAAGCTCTGAAGCAGATAAAACATATTTTAAAAAATATAAGAAATACCAGATGAATAAAAATTAAAGAAACTTACAAGATGTACGAAATTAAAGCATTCAGTTTGTGTTAAGTCAACGTGTCCTAATTCTACTTTCAAGTATTCCTTAAGACACCTTCTCCCATCATTTTACATTTCTGCTGTTAATAAGTAATAAAAATGTAATGACTTTAACACAACAAAAATATGGAAATAACGCAATACTACGTTCCTTCCTTTCCTTCTTTCTCCCAATTATTTGGACATTTTATGAACCAATAATAAATTCATTCCATGTGGTTAACTATACCATGACTTTCAAGTTATTAAATCTGAAATTCGAAATGATAAATCTGATATAAAACAGGGTAAGTTATGAAATTCAACTGTTCATTACATATGAAAATTCAAAATCTCCAAATCTGCAAATCAGGTTCTATATCATCACGATCGGTAACATCACTTTCACAAAAACCAGATTCATCTTCTATACGTGGCGTTGTCAGGTTAACAATTGATTCATTTTCATCGCTAGATTCGGAACGTCTCACCGAATTGATAATTCGCTTCAGAATCGGTGTCTGATCATCTTCAATATCCACTATCGCTTCATTGGTTTTAGCTCTTGGATCCATCAATGTGGTTCGGTTGGCTCGTTTTCCCTTTTCATTCTTTACCAAATTTGTCGATGGCAAAGTTTGAGTAGGATAAATAGTACAAAACAGCTGCTGCCTTTGATGCTGAAAAAAATTTAGCTCGGATTAAAAATTCAGTAAGCAATTTCTTGAAACCATAATTTTGCAAGGATGGGTTGAAAAGAAGTGGAAGAATGGGCTGTTTCGCGATGTCCAACAATTTACAACCCACAGCTTACTATTTACTGACAACTGAACAAGAGTTTTTTCAGGCAAAAAAAAAAAAGAAAAAAAAAACAGGAAACCTCAGCTCAAAAACATTAGTGAAAAAAAAAATCTTTTTCAATTGCCAAGAAAAAAATAAATAAATAAAAGAACCGCCTCATTATTACTGCTACATGTAATAGAGACCTTAGTCCTTGGAAATGTTTTTGGTGAACCAAAAGGCACAATGCACAAATCTTTTTCAGTAGCACCATCTTTATGCCTTAAAATTGTAGCTTGATGATTACCAGCATGATTATAACGAATAGCCGCACGTTTGGAATGATCCGAATTTAAAGTCTGGAACATTCATAGATATGCTCGTTACTTCAAGAAAACAAAGAACATTCACATTAAAAAAGTGAAAAAGAAGACTGTAAACAGTATTTCATTTCTCATGACGCAGGAATAGAATTAAGCATATGAATAGAAAAGACAAATGTAATCAAGAAATAGGAGAAAGTAGCATACTATGTTATATTAGAAAAGTTTTCGAAAACAGTAATCTATGAAATATGAATACATTATCAATTAGCAATAAACTGTTTCTGAAAATACGAAACATATCACTAACCAAACAACTCCAATTGTATTCCTCAGGTAATGCGCAATCTCGCCAAATGACATGCTTTGAGACGTCTTTATATCGAAGTTTAATCATTGCACTAGTTTCAGAATCCAGCTTAAACAACTCTTTTGTTTTCCCAACCTGAAAAAAATAGAAATCTAGTTTTAGTTAAAAACTATTGAAAGACATTTCTATTTGGAAAAGCAGAAAAAGAAAACAAAACATTTCGCAGCTCAATTAGGTAAAATTACTGCTAAAATACTTTTTCAATTCTCACTGTAGCAGCATTTCAAAAACAAAAAAATAAATAATAATAATAGTAATAAATGAGAAGAATAGAAAATACAATTTTCACAAACGTTGATGATAAATCGTTGGTGGCTAATACACAATTCAATCAAATAAACATTATCACAACATATAGTTAAGTAACTAACCGAAGGAAAAATGAGAAGATGCAGACTTTCAACAATTCTCATCTACATAGAATTAGCAGCTGACAAATTACAACCTTTTAAGTTTAAAAAAAATGCCATTACTAAACTTTTCGTTCACACATTCCTTTAAAATTCTATTGCAGACCAACTACATCTTTGATCAGAATTGCCCACCTCTTTCTCGGACAAATTCCAAACCGTCGCACATACATAGCATTAATCCTCCCTCTTTCCAATGTTAATGATATTGACCATTAAATCATTCCATTTAATGCACTCGTTAAAAACAGAACCACTATATACTTCTACAGCAAGAACAGAAAATTTAAAAAATTATTAAGAATGAACAAGCTGTCGATGAAGATGTTACCTCACGGTTAACTTCCAGTCGATAAAGCTGAGCTGCTTTCAAAATATCAGAAACATAACTTTTTAAAATGAACAAATATGCAAAAAACTAATTAATCAGTACTATTTTCGAACAACATAAAATTTAATTATGAAATTATCAGAAATAATACTTTTGAAAACCGAAATTGTTGAGAATTCTAGCAAAGTTCAAAAAAACAAATTTAGTAGCATTAAATAAAAAAGCACATGATCTGCCTGCTTCAAAAATTACAACGACTAGTGAGAATTTTGCGAGAAACAACATTTTTCAGTGATTTAGAATATATAATATATACTAAACATTTCTTCCAACAAATGAAACAGAAAAAAGTTGGTCAGATATCTAACTTCGAATCAAATTCAAGAATGAAACATTGAAAATATGGAAAACCTGAAGGCTGAATGTTCTTCGAAGAAATCCTGTTTGTTCTCTCTGGAGTGATGTAAATTGCTGGCTTTTCATACCACCATCCACCCTTTGGCTTAACCGCTTTTCGATCATTACAGTAGTAACACTTTCGCCATTTTCATTCATTAATAAACAATTTCGTTCTATGGTAAAATTATTGTCGTTACTACTACTACTACTCTATTACTAACCATCATGCTTGCTCTTTTTGCCACCTGAAATTAAGAATTAGCACTTAGCGACGTGGAACAAACAAAGAATAGATTTCAATCATGACGAATAAGAAATTTTCAGAGATTTGGGAATATAATAATCTGTTTGTTTATTCATTCAGTAACTTACAAAGGGATTATAGAGCTATAGAGGTGTCGAGTAAAAGCGGAAGAATAAAAGAGATGGTCACAGACAGAGAAGGTTAATGACAGAGCTTATGTAAAAAAAATAAAGTAATTCTAAATGGGGAAGAGGATCAGCCCGGAACAAAAATGAATCAGCGATATGAATGTAATATAAAAAGAAACGAAGAAGTCAACAAACATTGCTTCGATATATTCCATCATTTCCTCCCCCACCCAAAAAAAAAAAAAACTTATCAGACTAAAAGTAGAAAGCGTCAATAAGTTGAAAACAATTGCTCCATTTTATCCTTATATCACCTTTTCAGTATAATGCAACATTCCTTTTGGAATGCTCAGTTCCACCCGACAGTGACCAATTAACTATTCAGTTGACAATGTGAAGCTGAAAAATCCCCAAAGACAACCCTCCCACCTAGCACTAATCTGAAGTTCTTAGTGCTTGATTATAACTAATAATGAGTATGCAATCCACTAAAGGACGAAACGAGAGCTTACATACTTTCATCTTGAAAGCAGACAAGTTAATTTAAAATTCTGCTTTAAGCAACATACATTTTGAATTAAATTCCACAGCATCTTTGCCTAATCTCATTTCCCTTGCAAGTAAAAAATTATCTTACAGAAAAAGACTACTCGTACTAATATATACACCTTAAGGCACTTATTCTCCAACTCATGGTGGCATGATTTATATAATGACAATTAATCTGATTTTAGTAGCAAAGAAGACGAATAGAAAAATTGCAATGAGAATGAAATGATTGAGTGCCACTGTTGTCAACCGGTTTAGTCATTACATCTTAGTAAGAGTTAATGCTATACCTAGTATTCTCACATGTAATCATAAACATCGATGAAATTCAGGAGACACTGTCGATGAGAGTTCAACGAAAAAATAAAATAATAAAGCTCGTTCACTTCACAGAAAGACAACACAGAGTTTAAGATGTCTTTTTTTTTCATTTATCAACCTGGGACAAATAAAGAATAGATTGCAATCAGGACGAATAATGCTATAGCTGATATTTTCACATGTGTACGGAAACTGAGTACAGACATCTCAGAATTAACTTAGATCTGCCTAATTAGACAGAAGGAACATAGGTCAGCAGAACAAATATTGTAGTTAGCAAAGTTGTAAGGTGCAGTAGTCAGGTGATAAAGTGCAGACAGAAGCAATAACAATCTATTTCGTTCGGAAATAGAAAGTCTTCGATAAAATATTTTTCCAAAATATAAAGAAGAATTGGAAGGACAGAATGGATAATTCCCAATTCTTTTTGAGATAGGTAAAATGGCGATGGTGATGGAAGGGCTATCTTAAGGTCAACTTAAAATATGAACATCAGAGGAAAGAAAGCATTTGAATCTGTGACATTCCGTAATAGTTTGCAACAACAAGATTGAAATCTGTAATGAATGCTAAAACATAGGAAACTTTTACTGGGATTTCTAGTCTAGGGAAAAGGATGTGCTGAAGGGAATGAAGATTAGTCCAAAGGATGAAACAATCGTTACAATTTTCAGCTCTATACGACAGCCAGTTGTCCTCAGGTTAAAAGGAAAGGTGTGGCGGCGACTCGGACACTAACCAATTGTCGTTCATTTCCAATTTCTCCAATATATCTCTATTTGGAAAGATGCTTTCTAATTGTGCTTGCAGTTTCCCTTATGTTGTGGCATTATAAAGTTACTGTTGCAGGGGTACCAGTACCATTCATTCGTTTCAAGACAGATGAATCATTGCGCGGAAAAAATGCTCAGTGAACAATTACTTAAAGTAGTAAAAATAGCTGAGGAAGAAGTTGATTGTCAGATAGAAAAATACAATAATTTGGATGAGAACGATTTGGAAGCAGTACGAAAGAGACGTCTTCAAGAACTGAAAAAGAAGCAGCTGCAAAAGCAGGTAAGTTTTTGAATAATAATAATTAGTATAATATTTTTCTTTTTTCGACATTCCTTTCAATCACCCACTATCTTCACTTAAAAATAAAACACTATTTAACACTTATGAGCGCTGATCTGCCAATTTACATTCCCCACTCCTCATAAAAAATATATTTGATTTGCTATTTGGGAGATTTCTTTGTTATCTTTCGGCTTTTTACATTTTAGCCCATTTTCTCTATAATCATTACTTCAGGAATGGCTTAAAAATGGCCACGGTGCATATGAAGAAATTCCGGATGAACGAAACTTTTTTGACGTTGTGAAGAAGTCTGCCAAAGTTGTGTGTCACTTTTATTTACCTACCACCGAACGGTGTAAAATTTTTAATAAACATCTGGAGAAAATTGCTGCGAAACATCTGGAAACTCGATTTATTTATGCTAATGCTGAAAAGGTAGAGATTTCAGTGGCTTTATTAATGTGTTGTACTGTGATTCACAGATCTAAACTCTCTTTGATATTTTTCTGGAGTTGTTGAATTTAAGGTTTATTTGTCCTTATTTTATAGGAGGTACGTAATGAAATTCAGTTATATTGGTGCGCATGTTATAGTTTTAAAAGATTCTGTAGCAGTTTCAGATATTATTAACACAAAATCATTGACACATGTTTTAAAATGCGGTATAATTAAAATCAAAATTATAAACATCTTAGGTTTACGAAGATTTCAGTTTCCATTTGTCACTACACGACTCAGAATACGTGTTATTCCAACAATTGTTGTAGTCATTAATTCGAATACGGTTGATTATATACGGGGATTTGATGATTTAGGTGGGAAAGATGAATTCAGAACCGAAACGCTTGAATGGAGACTTTCATGGTATTTTAAACAACTTTTTGCTTTATTTCGATTCTTGTATTTCTGTATCAAGATTTTGCAGGTTTTTTCTGTCTTTATTTTCCTTTTGCTTCTTAAATAATGGGAAATGTACGTTTATAGGAGCAAAGTACTTGAATACAACGGGCCTTCCTACTTACGAGGTTCTGGTACTACTGTTGCAAACTTGGTGAAAGGAGTCAGGAAAAAGGTTCGTGGAAATGAGGCTAACGGTGATAGTGATGATGATAGTGACGATTGGTAATGAAGTTTTTCATAGTTTAAGACGAAATATCCTTTTAGAAGTCACAGAAGTTACAACAGGATTTGATAGGGTCCATGTGAAATAGGCTACTTTTCTTTGTCAACAAAAATCTGTGTGAATTATTGAATTAGAGGTTTTTATTAACTTGGTGGTTTTAGCAGATCCCATCTCGAATTCGGAAGTGAAACTTTTTAGCGCTGATGGTACTTGAAAAGGGAGAGTAGGTCGCTGCCAAGTTTATAAAAATTTCTTTATTAATTAAGTGATAAACATAATTTTATTTTAATTCCCTTGTTTTTTTAATTTCTGCTTTTTAGCAAATTTGCCTGCCTTTTCTTATATTTCCTTGATTGTTTTTTATTATATTGTCTAGCTTTGTTCCTACTTCTTCTCTATATAATTGATTTTCTTTTAAAAGAGAATAACTGATTTCTAATAACATTCCATTACTTTCTGCCTCTAATAATTTTTGTTGCTTGAATGCTGCTTTCCAATCTATCCATGTTCCTTTTCCATTTTCTTTAGAGGGAAATAAAGATCCATAAGTTTTCACTTGCTCACTAAAGTTCTCACTAAAGTTTGTATCACTTGCCTCTTTTATGTGCGCCATCATTCACCACACCTATTAATCAATTTTAAAAATTTTACCTATGTTATCATATAATATTAATATATTATTGTTATTTTTGAGTTGGGGTACATATGGCTAGAAACTACTATTAAATACTAGAAGTAGATAAATATGTTGCTCCAGAAGAAATAAACAAAGCTTATAAAAAATTAGGATTGAAATATCATCCTGATAAACTTCTACCTAAAAAAAGAAAAATATCAAGAATTGTTAAAAAAGCGATTTAATGGTGCTGCTTTATCTAAGCTTGAGTTGGAAGAGATGCAAAGTCTGTAATGTTGTTCCTAGAAGTTCAAGGGGCATATAAGGTGTTATCTAATCTAAAGAAAAAAAAGATATGATAAAATGATTATAAGAGAAAAATGTAGTAATATCTGGCGATTTATTTTCAGATTATATAAGGAAACAGCCATACGATTTCTTGTATCAACCAATTCTTGAGAATAATCTAGGATCTGTATGTATGGTAGTAGAAGAATTTAGCATCGATGTTAACGTTAAATGTGATTATATATATTAGCATTACTTCAATTGATTATGTGATTAAGAAAAATCACGTGCAAATTATTGATTGTTTGATCAGAAAGTATCTCTTATTGACTCGGTTCGGTATCAAGTCAAAGCAAAATATTTTTAAAATAAATATGCCGATAAGAAAAAATAGAACTGATGATATAATACACTCAAAAAAAAGAGATAAATTAAAATTTACTTTATTCAAAAAATAAAAAGTGAGTCTGGAACATGATAGTAACTGAGCTTGACTGAAAACGAATAAGTTTTAAAAAAAAATTTCCGAATTAAAGTGAAGGTCTTCCTTAACAAGTAGTTTAGAAAATTTACTCGAATAAATTGATTTCGTTGTATTTCTCTTCATTATTTATATTATTACCTAAGTCTGAAATCTCGAAGTAATAAAGTGGAAAATTTTAGGAAAAATTGAGTGATCTGATTGCTTTTGATGGCCGTTAATGAAATCTCATTATTTTTCATGTCATTTTTTACTTTTTTGTTGCTTGCATAGCAGAATCTATTTTATTGTGGTTTGAATCAAACATTTGAATATATTCCAGTTTCTGATTTGATTTTGACCTAGGGACAGTTATGATTTCTATAATAAGGATCAAGGTAATACTCGAATACAGGATTAGGCTAATGCCATTTGTTGTTGTTGTTGATCGAATAGTTCATGTAAATGCACAAATATCTGAATCACTTTCAGCTTACCATTGTTACAATCTTTTTTATTAATCTTTCCCAAAAGATACATTAAAGTTGTTTTCGCGTTGTCGCATGCAGGCTTCCTAAAATTTAAATGCTTTTTAATATCATTTACAGATATTTCCGATTTTTTTTTTTTAATTTTCCGCTCTTTAAGCTCTAAAATCCGAAATAAGTAACATTAGCGAACTGACATCTTTCATATTATCGAGTTCCTGCTCTAGTTTTTCAGACCAAACCGTTAGGCATGCTAATGCATTCAAGAAAATCAGCAACTGAAGATACGCATACAGTGATGGTGTCGTATATGGATGATAGCCATTGCCGGCATCCACACCCTGAAAATTTTAACGCAATGCCAATTAAAATAATATTATGGGTACAAGTATTAGGTACTGTTTAACTCAAGAATCGTAACTGCTTGAGATCAATTCTATGTCAAAATAAGGATTGCACGAAACATACCTGCGATCATAATTCCGCTGTTTGAATGCCATTTTTTTCTTAGTTACATGCGAGTTTCCACATATGTTTATTTTTTCTATATAGAGTAAAACAATCTGTAAAGACGGAACCTGATGACTTTTAAGCTTGGTAGACCCAAAACGCGTTGCAGCAAAGGCCTGAGCTGTGTAGACTGCATCTTCCCGCTGTAGTTCAAAATATGGCCGTCCACACTGAATAATTATCAATAAAGTGAGAAGCAGAAAGAAAAGTTCTTGTTAGGGAGAAATACACTGTTTAAAATCTCGGAGCTCACTGGTTTATTTTCCGCACCCAGACATCGATATTCATATTCGATGCGTAGCAAAGGACGTCTTTTTGTTTCTTGTCCATAACGACTTTTCGAATTGGGCGAGAAAGCGGAGCGATTGCGGGGACGGCGTACACCTTCTGAAACATTATGTTTTCAACGTTCTGAAGGGAAATAAATTTGGATTTCCAAATTTAACTTTAAGTAATACAAATTTCATGCAAGCCTAAATTGTTTTTGTATCACTTATCTTGGCTTTTAAGAAACAGAGTTCTTGGTTCTGGGTAGATTGTTTTGGTCTGACCGGTATCTGCATTGACTGCATTAACAGAGCCCTGCCGCATCTCAACAATCAAATTGTTGGGAAGAAGAGACTGCATTTCTGTCAAATCCATATATGCTTCTTCGGCTGCCTGAAAGCTTTCGGCTTTTCTCTCGAAAAAGAAAGGACGAATCTTTCCAATCAGGTCCTTTCCGTTTTTTATATCCATTTAACATTTGTGAATTTATGAATGAAAAGCTGAAATTGAACTAGATGAACGGAAGCCAGTTTTTCTTAATGGACTTACATCTTGAATGAGAGGGTCACTTTTCCCGGCAACATTGACGACTAAATGGCAAATTTTTGGTGGACGAGACTGATCCATCAAGCGTTCCAGCAACCGATTAGCCAAGATCTCAGCAAATGTATCAATGCGGCTAAGGATTTATTTAGTAAATCATACCATTTTACTTGAAGAAAAGTTTTTCCTTACAAATCTAATCCTCTCTATTTTTTTCATTTTGATTCGTTTTGCTATAAAAGTTTCCCTATAAGGTGAGAAATGTTTTTGTTTTCCGTGAAGTAGTTGAAATTTAATATGAAATTTTCCGAAGCGATATACCGACGAGGAATCGTTCCATACAAGAATGAAGCTAAGAAACCCACAGTCTGTTCAATTTCGACCAGCATCTCTGGAACAGTGATCATCATCCTAATAAAAGAAGCATAACGGAACAAATCGATAAGCTGTTCGGAAATGAACGTGCAAGTAAGTAATTAAATGAAGCAGATAAATCGAATCAAGAAGAAGAAATACATACTTACTGGTTCACGAACCTATTTATTACATTTATTGCAGCAAAGGTGTGAAACACTGGCCGCTCAGTACAAAAGTTCCTACGAAAACTGCTCTGAACAGTATTACTTACTCGAACCTTGAAAAATATGCAAATTCTTTTCTTAGATCAATAAATGAGCGAGATTCTGCTTATACACTTAAGAATGCGAGTTTTCAGAGATAACTGAGACACAATCCCAGCATTATAGATTGCTTCTTCTTCGGCAATTAATTGGCTCAATCCATAAAGAAGAAATATCTTAAAAAGAAATATCCCAAAAATTTGTTAATACCTTTTGTCAGCAGTTAAATTCAAGCAATCCTTATACAATTTAGTAACTAAATTAAGATGTGGATAGTTTCCCCTAATTCATTGAATTCTCAGGATATACTTTGTAACCGTCATAGATTATTTGAAAGTTATTACTGATAGATTCCAGTGAAGCAGACTCCATGTTTCATTTAAATTTTACCCTCATCTCTTTGTAATGTCTTCCTCAAAACTTTCCTCCATTTGTAAACTAAGAATCCTATATATTATTTCGTCTCTTTATTTCAATCTTTACCAATTGATATCTCATGTAGTGACACTTTAACTAATAAATAATCATCGCTACTGCTCTGTGAAAAGTCAACTTAAATTGTAGCGATCCTCCTTTCACTCAGAGTGAGCTAGTGTTCAAATGTGTAACATTCTTGTAATTCCCAACAAATGAGGGATATTGAATGACAAGTTAAAATTTGAACTAGGAGAACTGAATCTCGTGAAATGTTTCGTAGATTTGTTGGAATAACAAATGAAACGACAAGTTAAATGAAATCTTTATTTGATATATCTGCAAAACAACGCATTAGCAACACTTTCATCAGCAGAAAGATGACACATAACAGAATCTCACCGGTAATTTCGAAGTTCACAGTAATCTTCAAACAAATCAATAAATCTTGTCTGCAACTTTCCTGAACAAAGTGTATGTCATGCGTTTGAGTGTAGATGACAGCTAATCAATATGCAAAGCTAATACACAACTTATCCATTTTTAAATAGGAAAAATGGATTAAAAACAGTACACGTTAAGAACACAATTACTACGAATACAAAGAACGTCTCATCTACCTGTTTGTGAGTTATCACGAACCCGACAGTTTCTTTCTGCCGTTGATCTTTGATATTCTTTTTATTTCACTATTTTTCCCACCTGACCCTAGCTACGAATCGTTTTCCTTTAAAATTAAGAATTTTTTCACTCAATTTTTCATCAGCAAGTTAACAATACTAAACATTTGCAGTTTACGCTTACTCTTGCAACAGTCAATAAATGGATTACTGAAGTGAAAATTCCTTTGGCTTATTATATTACAAACGAAACTGAAATCTTTCACTTTCTAGAATACAGAACTTTAAGTTCTCCTCGTAATTAATGTCTTAAAAATATTAGGGCTATACAGGAACGATAAAAAGTAAAAAACAATGTAAAATTATTTGAGCGTCCATAGATTTGGAGAATTACGCTCAAACGAACTTGTTCTAAAGATGCATATATGAGCTCCGTCATATCAAAGAATTGATTTAAATAAATTCTCTATCCTTTAAGTTAGTTAGGGATGAGCTAAAGTCAATCATCAGAGTTGTTGGTAAAAAACACCTGAAAAGAATCTCAACAGAATGGAACGGCGGAATGACGGTGATTTGAACTTACCGTTATCGGAACCTGGTGAAAGCACAGCCACAATGTAGGAGTCATCCTTAACAATCTAAACACTAATTAATAACTTACACACTGACTACTTTTCACGAACAAGAAAATGCAGCAAATTCGGTCGCACCAGATGCGTTATAATGCTCTGGTGGCAGTACAAAAATTGAATTTAAGCGAATGTGATGTTCAGTAACTACTACAAAGTGATTACCGCAAAAATTAACACACATGAACGCACCATAATGTCGAATATGAACGTCCTATATTAGGCGCACGTGTATTCGACATAAATGGGAATTCTGACAAAACTATAGGTATGAAGATACAATGTCAGCATAATATTCACTGAATTTGAAATGATTCGAATAGCAAATAAAAAATTTAACTCTGAAAATTTCAAAATTCTCTGCGAAATTACCCGTAAACAATAAAAAGGATAAATGTCTGCTGAATTGATTTGTTTGCAACACAGCTTAGTGAATTCTATCCAAACAGAAAAAAACCAGTGACAATACTGAACACAGAGTAAAAAAAATGAACTCATTTCTTGCATTGGTAACCATTTGATTAAGGAACAATACCTCAAATTGTTCGAGAAAACTGATAAAATGACAATACTGAACACAGAGTAAAAAAAATGAACTCATTTCTTGCATTGGCAACCATTTGATTGAGGAACAATACCTCAAATTGTTCGAGAAAACTGATAAAACGAATAAAAATAAAGGAGGCAGTGGATCTTGATGAAGCCGGCCCAAACAGGACGAATAAATAAAAGCTTACTGCCATTTTACTGCGATCAATTATTTATGATTTACATCAGCAGACAAGAGCAAGACTAACAAATTTATTTCGATTTTCTGGGAATTATTTGCCTAAAAAATTGAAAAATCAAAATTTCGTGATTCTTGAATTAAATCTTAGACCTGTCAGTCTATTAGTGAACGCCGCTCTTACGTTCTTACATTACATAAAAGATAAAAGCAATGCAAAATGTTATATAGCCCACTGGTATTTAAAGGTCCAAGAGATTTTCATGTTTTGCTCCAATCCTTTCTTATGAAAGTTTTTTAAAAAATCGGAAACAAACGAGCAAATAAAAGAAATTTAAATTAACTTGTGCAACCATCAATTTACTTGATTTTTTTCTATCTTTAATATAAAATACGAGTTGAAAGAAGCATATTGCTGTTTAGAAAAGCAAATCATATCCTGTGGTGCTTCTGCAGATAGGTATCTCTGATGCACTATAGCTCAGTACAGTAAATTGATCAGTTCGTAATCTTTTTGTCATGGAGATAAAGCGAAGGAGTTGAGTGGGACGACGAATCGCTCGGTGTTGCAATCATTGTGCTAGGCACAACAAAGAGATCAGGCTTACTATTATGACAAATAACTCCTGGACCACCAAGCGGAGGTTGCCACAATTCATAATCCAGTTTTGTCAGTTCATCTTTGATCATTGATAACACAGTTGCTGACGTATCTACAAATAATTATAATTAAAATATTGGCAAATAACTAAATGCACATAAAGCTGAAGAGACTGAGAAAGTTTGGTGAGTAACCTCAAACTAATCTCGTAAAAGATTTTAGGTAACAAACTTGATCACCAGAAATCATAAAATGGGAATGAAATATTGTGACGGTAAGGTAAAAAATAATTAGAAAAAAAAACAAGAGAGAGGCACTAATTTCAACACATTTTTTTTCAAACATGACCTCCTCCAGTATTCCCACAATTTCCTCTTGTAATATCTATGCAGTAAAAAAGTTATTTAATTAGTCTAATTCTTTCCTCTTATCACGTACCGCAAAAAGCAGATAACATATATTCATGTTTTAATACTCCACATTATACTTGAATAATAAGTTTGCGAGGAATCCATTTCATAGAAATTAATTGCAAATGAATTTTGTGATACCTGGTTTTAAGAAAGCAAAAACGCTTCCACCACCACCAGCACCAGTCATTTTTGGATGTATTCCATACCGTGCAAGTAATGTGCAAATCTGGTCAATTTTTGGATGACCAACACCAAGTGCAATCAGTAACTGATTGTTTATTCGACATAAATCCTGAAATAACATATGAAATCTAAAAAAGTCTCACATCAAAAATCAGTAATTTGAATAGGATTACGCAGGATCCATAATATATATGTAATGAAAATTTTTTATTGGAAAACGAAGTGATGAAAATGAGAATGTTAATTTTGTCTTCATATTCCTATTTTCCTTATTACTATTACCGTCAATGGTGCATGAACTAAGAATAAAACGCATATAGTTCAGGATAAAATTTTTTGAAGTAGTTAAGGACTGTGTTTTTAACACAATTTTGACATGCAATTTTTTGAAACAGGCGTGGCACGCAATCATCTGTTAAGGTTAGAGAAGCACCAAAACAACAAAGAAAAAAAAAATGAGTTAGATTTTGCAAAAATTCAAGAGATGGTCGAAAGGGACAAATAGACAATCATTAAGAAAGGGTAATTCTTTTAAATATATGGTCTAAATTAAGATAGGAAGACAAAAAAGGGAAAAAGTGTTGATATTAAGAATAAGAAAAAGGGAATCAAGGAACACAGTTTGGCAGCGAAATTAAAATTTAAAACATGATTTCTTTTTCCGTACAGCTTACATTGAGCTTGGAAAAGGAATCGGCAAGCTGTCCTCGCTCATGTTTCTCCGAATTAGCACCCGAAGTACCACTAGTTGCGGAAGCGTTACTATTACGTTTACCACCAGCAGCATAAGAGCTCTCTTTCGGTAAATGTACTCCACTAGTCGGCTGTTGCTGTTGCTGAGAATGTCCACTAGACTGCAAAATTCACAGAAACACTAGTAATTTAAACCTTTTAAGAAAAATCAAACAAGAAAAAATTATATGAGCATATTGGCCAATGATTACTTCGGTAATCAACGAGTTAAATATACGACAAGTTTCAGTGTATAATGAAAATTAATAAATAATAGCTTCCAAATTTCTTGAAACTATTTAAGATTCGGATCTATAAAATTAAAAAAGTTTAATTTGAGACTTGATTCAAGGTTCACATTCTAATTATTGGTTAAATAGCAAATCTAAAACTAAAAAAAAGCAACTGTTCTCGAACATAAAAACACAAAATATAAAATGACGTCGGCGA